TCATTGTGGTAAAGGACAATAGGAAAGCAAGTGTCCAAGTTTTTCACCCCCTGTGATATAGACCAGGAGTTATACCAGGAGTTATAATCCATAGAGGGGGATATCTGATTTGGGGCAGCCAAAAAAAGGGACAGTAAGAAGAACATTTTTGTCAGCAGAAGAAAATAGATTTCAAGTGTCAGGAATAATAGAAGCTAGGGGTAGAAGTGGTGGCTTTTGGGTCCAGTGCAAACAAGTTTAACCAGATTTAAAGGGTGTGTTCTGGGGAAATAGTTAGCTTAAGTATTACTTTGAAAACGTGGCAAGAGGTCATATAGGTGTTTTAGATCCAGTAAACATTTGAAGAAGTTGTGGTAGGGACTGAATCTTGCAGGGTTTTTTTGGTACTTCTGAGGTACTGTAGTAATTTAGGGGTGGAGTGGGTAGATTGGGAGCAGAAATAAATGGCAAAGATTGGATTTAAAGGAGAATTTGTAAGACAAAACAATAGGATTTCACAAACAGAATGTAGTAAAAGCTATTTCTAAAACTTTTGAGTTCTAGAAATTGAGTTTTAATGTCCTGCCCTGTCTTTCATTTAGAGAGTTGAGGGCCTGAGGGAGCCCATTTGGAGGAACAGGAAAAGAATTAATATTAGGGCTGGGAAGGTGGTTCAGTGGTAGAGTGCTTGCCTTGCATGCATGAGGCCCTGGGTTCGATTCCTCAGCACCGCATAAGCAGAATAAAAGAAAAAAGCCGGAAGTGGCGCTGTGGCTCAAGTGGTAAAGCACTAGCCTTGAACTGAAGAGCTGAGTAAAAGTGATCCCTGTGCAGTTTGAGATGGAGACTAGAAGGAAAGAATCAGCTGAAGGAGGATATTTTTAGGGGAAGAGCACAAAGGTGCAAAGTCTTTGTGCCTCTGGTCATATAAAATATTTATCAAAATGAAATCCATGACATGGAGACAAGAAGTTTTTTCTTTATTTATCTTTGGGAGGATAAAGGGGCACAAATGGAGAGACAAAGGGTGAACAAATGCAGCAGTGGTACTCACTAGACACTATGTTGAAAATGAACTATACAACTTGTAGGTGTGGAGAGGAGAGAAAAACTGGGAGAGAGGGAAGGGGTGACACTGTCCAAAAAGAAATGTACTTATTACCTGACTTATGCAACCATAACCTCTCTGAACATCACCTTTATCATCATCTTCTGAACATCACCTTTATCATCATCATAATAATCACTCACAAGGCAGAAAGGCTGGGAGGCAAGTGAGCAGTGTGACAGGGCCTCTGGGAATTTCTCAGGTCATAGTCATGGGCAACAGGGTAGATAGACCATCTAGAATTTAGTTTTAAGTGATAAATAAATGTACAGTACAACCTGTACCTTCTGCTTCATAAACTTGCACTTCTAAGGACATGTTGATCCAGTTACTATTTGAATTGGCCTTCTTTCTACTCTAATGTCTTTGGAAAGAAAATGATTAATACATGAAAGGCTTTTCTTTTTTTAAATTGTTTTAAGTGTCTTCAAAACAAGGAAGGAGAATATCCTAAAGCTAAAGGCTTTATTTAAAAAAAAATTTTCTGCCAGTACTGGAGCTTAAGTTCAGAGTCTCATGCTCTTGTTTAGCTTTTTCACTCCATACTGGCACTCTAACACTTGCGACATAATTCTACCTTCAGAGTTTTGTGGGTTAATTGGAGATGAGAGGCTCTTGGCAATATCTCCAAGAGACTACTATTATTTCTCAAGAGGTAGTCCTCAATCCTTGATCCTCAGATCTTCAGACCTCAACCACCTGAGTAGCTAGGAATTACAGACATGAGACACTAGTGCCTGGCTATTTTTAAAAAAGTGATACAGAGACCATAACAATTAAGCATTGTAGAGTGGGTTTGTGTGATGATGTTTCAATACAGAGATATATATGTAATGTTTAAAAATCAGATTAAATGTTTCATTCAATTTCAATGATTGATCATTTCTTTATGGTGACAACTCTGAAAGCTTTCTTTCTAGCTTTTTGAAATGTACAGTACATTATTGTCTATAGTTGCTCTATTGTGCAGTAGCACACCAGAGATGCTTGCCCCTAGCTGTGGCTCAGTCCCCTTTGATCAACATTTCCCCATCCTTCTTTTCTCCTTTAGTCATCAGCTTCTGGTAACCACCATTCTACTTCCAAATTTCATGGGCAACAAAATAAGAAAGCTGTATACCCATCTCTCTAATGAGCATACAAGCCAGATTCCCAGTACTGTAAAATACTTGGAAAATCAAATCCAGTAATGTATCAAAAAGAACCTGAGTTGTGGCTCTGGCCTTGAGTAAATAAGCTCAAGGTCAGTGCCAGGCTCTGAGTTCAAGCCCCTGTGGACTGGCACCAAAAACAACAATAATGAACATTCATTATGACCAAGTGAGATTTAACCCAGACACTCTTCTGAGGGTGGCTCAGAAGCTGGGGACTTTAAGCCAGTCTCAAAACTCAAGCATCTGAAAAGTCAAACTCAAGTTAATTAGAAAAATTGCAAGTTCTAATTCTCAGTACAACTTTAGGGTGGCCTTGGATCTGCTTGACAGCTCCAGCCCATATTGTACGGAGGAAAGAATGGTAGTAAAACCTACATCACACAGTCCTTTTGAGCCTTTGTGAGTACTTAAGTAACCACAAGCATTAGCATACTGTCTAGGCTTGCTAAAACAGCCAGGTCTCTGGAGCATGACAGCTGTGTACAGCTTGAAAGTTGTTGCTGAGGTACGCCCGCTCGCTATTCCTCTTAGGACTTTGTTCTCTGCAGTCTATAGCATGCCCCTGCCTGTAGATGATGGTGAATTGTTCAGATATCGTTTAAGGCTTTGTAGCTATCTGAACAGGAAACAGCTTACCTCTTGGGTACTGTGTGAAGAAACCTTTTAGATGATTGTCCATTGTTTATGCTGCAGGCATATTTGTTGGCATATTTTCTACTATGCATTAGAGTAAGAGGCCTTGAGCACTTCAATTTCATAGGTAATGTTCCTGTAATGTAGAAGTGAAAGGATCAGAGTCAAGTTAGATACAAAATCCCAACGCTTTCTTGGGTCTTTAAGGTCTCTGCCTAAAGAGGTAGTAGGTTAAGAATTTAGGAAGTAGGGGCTGGGAAGGTGGCTTAGTGGTAGAGCACTTGCCTTGCATGCCTGAGGCCCTGGGTTCGATTCCTCAGCACCACATAAGCAAAAAGGAAAAAGCCAGAAGTGGCGCTGTGGCTCAAGTGGTAGAGCGCTAGCCTTGAGCTGAAGAGCTGAAGGACAGCGCCCAGGCCCAGAGTTCAGGCCCCACGACCGGATCCCCCCCAAAAAACGATGAAACTTTTTATTGTGAATCTAGCAGCTCTTTTCAATATTGCTTCTTATTGTTATTGTTGACAAGTGTTATTGTATACCTGATAATATTAGTAAGAATTTGGGAATACACCAGGTGTTTTAGGAATAGATTTAAAGCAACTAGACCATGGGACAGCCTATCATTATTATTTAAGAGAAGCAGGAAGTGTGTGTGTGTGTGGTGTGTGTGTGTGTGTGTGTGTTGGCTCTGGGGCTTGAACTTAGGGCCTAGACACTGTGTGTGTGTGTGTGTGTGTGTGTGTGCGCGCGCGCGCGTACACACGCGAGCGTGCGCTCTGGGGCTTGAACTTAGGACCTAGACACTGTCCCTGAGCTTTTTTTTTGCTTAAGGCTAGCCCTCTATGAGTTTAGCCACAGCTCCACTTCCAGACTCATAGCCTTTCCTGACCAGACTGGGTTTGAACCACAATCCTCAGATTTCAGCCTCCTGACTAGCTAGGATTATAGGCATGAGCCACCTGTACCTGAGGAGAAGTAGGAGTTTTTAAAACCCCCTGATAGCCGGGTGCCAGTGGCTCATGCCTGTAATACTACCTACTGAGGAGGCTGAGATCTGAGGATCACAGTTCAAAGCCAGCTCGGGCAGGAAAGTCCATGAAACTCTTATCTCCAATAAACCAGCAGAAAACCGGAAGTGGCACTGTAGCTCAAATGGTAGAGCACTAGCCTTGAGCTGAAGAACTGAGGGACAGTGCTCAGGCCCAGAGTTCAAGCCCCAGGACCAATAAAAAAATAAAAATAAAGCCCCCTGAATGATTCCTCCTACCTTATTTACTTCAAAAACCCCAAAAGGCAGAGTAACTTGGTGGTAGAGTAGTTCAGTAGTATGTAGGGAGGCTTTTGGATATTATCCCCAGCACTGAAGAAAGAAAGGCATACTATAATTGCCTGAAACAAAACTAGCAAGGCACAAATGAACATGGATATGATTATTAGGAAGCAGAAGGTGAATGTTACCAATTGTGGTGTTACCAAAGCATCTCAATAGAGTAACCACTCTATTCAGAAGAGAAAAATGCTACCTTTGCCAGGAAGATTCTGTTAGAAAGGAACATCTGAATGCTGTATGGTGATGCATACCATACCTGTGATCCCAGTTCTTGAGTGGCAGAGGCAACAGGATCGTAAATTGATGTATATGGGGAGACTGAGTCTCAATAAAAGGTGGGGAATGGAGGTAGAATTCAAGTGGTACAATGCTTACCCAATTAGAGGGAGGCCCTGAGTTTAATCTTCAGTACTGTTATTTTTAAAAGAAAACAGAACCAGCAGAAAACCATATATATTAAAAAGTACTTAACTTCATCTTAGAGCTTGTTGAATTTTCAGGACTGTATAGAATTTATTATTTATATATGTTTTGTTTGTTTGTTTTGTCAGTTGTGGGGCTTGGCCTGGGTGCCCCTGAGCTCTACCATTGATTGAACCACAGCACCACTTCTGGTTTTCTGGTGGTTAATTGGAGATAAGACTCTCACACAGACATTCCTGCCCTGGCTGGCTTTGAAGCATAATCCTCAGATCTCGGCCTCCTGAGTAGCTAGGAATTGCAGGCATGAGCCACCAGTGCCCAGCTTATATATGTTATTGTAGTACAATTTCAAAGTGTTATTTTTTAAATCTAGGAGCTGTCCAGTCGTATGCATTGGAACTTACTTTGAACAATACAGAAAAAGCCATTTGTCTTTCTGCAAAATGGCAGATGAATTTCACAATACATTATAATACTACAAACAACACTTTTGTAAGTATATTTATTTTTCTTTGATTTTAATTCTGACTTTTATTATTTAGGTGTTTATATAAATCAGATTTCACATTAACTGATGTTAGCACTTAAATTCTGTGGTTTTGGAAATATATTCTTTTTTTAATTTAATTTTAATTTTAATTTTTTGTGAACATACTGTACAGAGGGGTTACAATTGGAAATATATTCTTGTAGTTATTCTGTTTCATTACAATGAATATTTCTAACTCCTTGGTTCTTCAGAGTTTTTCTTGGAGATGTTTAAGGACATGTGATCTGAATGCTGCATGGTGTTTAAAATGTACTAGCATTAAAACTTGTCCTTTAAAAAAACCAGTTTACTACCCAAGATAGGGACACAGAGGTTTTTTTCTTTGTCGCTGTTGTTTTTAATGTAGTATATGATTTTTGTTTCTTTTGTATGTTCTTTCCCCATGGTATAACCCCTGTTTTCACTGTATTTGATGTTGGTGTCCTGCATTTTTTTATATATATTTTTCTAATTTGGGGTGGGGAAGGGAAATAACAAAATCTGACACAAGGATACAGGTTGACCCATTGAAACAATGAGATGCACAAGACACTGTTGAAAACAAACTTTTCAACTTCAGCAGGGAGGGGAGGAAGAGTTGGGAAGGTGGGGAGGGAAGGAATAATAGGGGAAAAACAAAGGAGGGGGTAACAATGCTCGATAGGAAAAGTACTCATTACTTTACTCATGTAACTGTAACTCCTCTGTATAGTATCTTTACAGGAAAAAAAATTAAAAAATAAAACAGGTTTATTATTAGATCCTCCCCTCTTTAGAGTGGTCTCCTTGGTCTTGTTGCTTTATTTTCTTTTTGTTAAGGTCCTATCTACTTACAGGGAGGGTGGGGTAGTACTGGGGCTTGAACTCAGAACCTGGGTGCTGTCCCTGAGCTTTTTTGCTCAAGGCTAGCACCGCTTCTACTTTTGTTGGAGATAAGAATCAAGGACTTTCCTTCTTGGGACAGCTTGGAACCACATTCCTCAGATCTCAGCCTGCTGAGTAGCTAGGATTATAGGCATGAGTCACCACTGGTGCCCTACACACACAGTCAAACTTCTAAGGAAAAAACAGCTGATAAACTGGTAATGTATTCAGTGATAAGTCAACCCTAGCTTTACAAAACAAACCCAACCAGTTGAAAAATAGTAGTTCAGGCAAGTTTTGCCTTTTCTCAGTTCTTAAGATTGGTATGTGGCTGAAGAATCTAAGCCCACCAGACAAAGGGCTGTGGCAAAGTATGCTTTACACTGAGGGGGCTAGTCTCCCAGAGTTAACACTGCTACATGTTTGTTCCTCACCCCAAACTTCTCTTTGCTTTTAGAAAACTGTAACCATTTCAGACTTTTCCAATGCAACATATAATGGAAGCAGTTGTAGGGATAACCAGAATCGTTCCAAAATTGCAGTACAATTTGGATCCGGTTTCTCTTGGATTGTGAATTTTACCATGGAGGCATCTAATTATTTAATTGATGGTATCTCATTTACCTACAACATGAGTGATAATACAACATTTCCTGATGCTGCACAAAAAGGTAACCTTAAGAATTGGATTGATATTATATTCTTGGCTTTTTACTAATAATAAAAATGTAAAACACTTAAAAAGTCATCATTATGTACATTTGTCTTCCTAACTAGAATAGAAAACCAAGTCTTTGTATCCCTCCCTGTCCCTGATCACATGTCAGACTTAGTAATGGTGTTGGCTGCCATTTGGGGGGGCACTTTACTCTGTACTTGAAGTAATAAGTTAACTGCAGTAACCCTGGGAAGAAGATACCTCATTTCATTGGGTAAAGGGCATAAGACTTGATGAACTTTAGTGACCTCCCCAAAGGTAACTGATACTAATTATCTTATTCAATAGTAGGCAATGGACAGATGTTGAATGAGGGAAAAATCCTTTCCTAATCACTGTGTACAAGTTCAGTAAATGAGACTAAAAGAAATGATTTTTCTTTAGATCTTTTTTTTTTTACTATTCAGATCATGTTTTAACTGAAAAGTAAATAATGATTAACGTTTAAATGACTAAAGTCATCATTTGCTGCTCTTTTGAGACAATTTTAGGTCAAAATGAACTTGAGAAAGCACAGGCAATTAGCTCATTGTCATTCCCAGAAATGAAATATGTAATAAATAATTTGAAAGTACAGATAATGGATATTTACATTTTTTTGGGGTCCGGTCGTGGGGCCTGAACTGTGGGCCTGGGCACTGTCCCTCAGCTCTTCCGCTCAAGGCTAGCGTTCTACCACTTGAGCCACAGCGCCACTTCTGGCTTTTTTCTTTTTGCTTATGTGGTGCTGAGGAATCGAACCTAGGGCCTCATGCATTCAAGGCAAGCTCTCTACCACTGAGCCACCTTCCCAGTCCCTTTTGTTTTGTTTTTGAGACAGGTAAAGCTTGCCTTGAACTCATAGTCTACTTATGACTTCCTAAGTGCTGGGATTATAGGCGTGGACTGCCATACCCAGTTTGCCCAGGTTGAGATTTTACTTTTCTTAAAGATATAATACTCTCCTTTCCCACCTCCAATGACATTAGATCAACTTCCTGTTTGTAGTAACTTAGCTCTTCTCAGCATTATTTATCAAGTCTTGTGGAATAATAATCATTTGACTTACAGATAGGAAAAGATTATAATTTAAAGACCCAGAAATAAATGAGGTATACTTTAAACTTGAGAGATAGCACAGACTGAAATTTAAAGTTTTCTTTTTTACTAATCTCTAAGTTTGAGTGAATAACAAACAAAAGTTGTTACTGGGTAGGTTAGATATGTATATTTGTGTCCTGCATTGTCTTTGAGAATTGCAATGTTTTTTTCTTCGCTTTGAAGAAGCTTAGAAAACTAGTTGAGACACAGCTAAATTGTGTCCACAACTTATGTGGAGAAATCCGCAAACATGGAGTTCAGTCTGATTTTTTTTCCTGCTGTTTGCACATTTGGTTTGAGGGATTAATGAACGGTTCTTCTGAAATGTAAAATGGGCGTGGGACATATTCCCTGATCCCATCTGGGGGTCTCTGCCAGCTTTAAAAGTGTTCTCCCTAGTGGTCCTGATCATGAGCCAGAGAAAGGAGAAATCAGTGTGTGACAGGGGTGAGAAAGCTTGCTCTAGAAGTGGGACCTGAGCTAAAACTCCCCTAATGGTGGAATTTGAGTAGGATGTTTCCACTAGGGGGAAGCAGAGCATGGGCAGCAGTAATTGGACAGTTGCCTGATGAAAAGTACAGCTCTATGTGTGCAGTGGAAAAGAAAAGAAAGTTGGCCAAATACAGTGTGACTAAATTATAAGGGACCTTGGAAAAGGCATTTAGATTGACAGGGTATGTAAAAGGGAACTATTTTGGAGTTTTTTAAGTGAGAGAATTGTATAACAAAAACAGGATTAACTTGAAAGTGAGTGGACACTAAGACCAGGTGCCAGCTTCAGAGGCATTTCTGAAGAGGACAATAATCAAGCACAATGCCTAGGCCACATGGGCTACTACCATAAAGGAGGGGGATTTAGTCTGACATGATTGGACAGAGAAACTAAAATGTTAACAGCTCTTTTCCTTAGCCCTCTTATTTTATCAATTTATTTTTGCTGGTCCTTGTGCTTGAACTCTGGGCCTAGATGCTGTCCCTGAACTATTTGTTTTTTGCTCAAGGCTAGTACTCTACCACTTGAGTCACACCTCTACTTCCGGCTTTTTTTGGTAGTTTATTGCAGATAAGAGTCTCACAGACTTTCCTGACTGGGCTAGCTTTGAACTTTGATCCTTCAGTTTCAACTCTCCGAGTAGCTAGGATTACAGGTGTAAGCCATTAGCAGTTGGCGTTATCCCCGTCCACCTTTTTTTTTTTTGGATCAGTTGTGGGTCTTGAACTCAGGGCTTGGATGCTGTCTCTGAGCTCTTTTGTTCAAGGCTAGCACTTCCACCACTTTGAGCACAGCTCCACTTCCAGTTTTCTAGTGGTTAATTGGAGATAAGAGTCTAACAAGGACTTTTCTCCCTGGGCTTTCTTTGAACCTGGATCCTTAGATTTCAGCCTCCTTATAGGCCTGAGCCACCACTGCCTGGCAATCCCCCTTTATTTTAAACAACAGGATGATTACTTTTTCCATGACTAGATTCTAAGTAATAGAATACTTGCAATGATTTGAAAGTTGAAAAGGCTTCCTAAATGGCAGTGTTGAGAATTGTTCTTTGAAATAATTCATTATTCTGAAATAGTAATTTACTTGATGAGTGAAGTAACTTTGAAGCCAGTATTTTCTTTTAAAACATGTTTGAAATACAACACAGTACAGGATAGTGTAAAAGGCCCATAAGTACCCATTACCCAGAATTAATAAATATCATTTAAAAATATTTTCTTCATCATTTTATTGATTTAAAGAAATACACCCTTGTAGATACTTTGAGGGTTTTTTTTTTGTCCTCTTCTCTTCCTGGTCATATGTTTCTATTTTAGTACGTATGTGCATATTCACAAGCAGTACAAATTCAAAACATGTCTTTTCATAGTATAATTCCAGTATGTCTGTAACTTTTTTTCTGTGTTCCAGTTCTGGGGCTTTCATTCAGTCTTATTTTGACTTAGCTGTTTAACTCAAGGCTGGTATTCTACCACAGGAGCTACACCTCCACTTCCAGCTTTTTGCTGGTTAATTAGAGAAGAGAGTCCCATGGACTTTTCTGCTCAGGCTGTTTTTGAACTGAGATCCTCAGACTTCAGCCTCTTGAGTAGCTAGGCTTACAAGTGTGAGCACTCAGCTACAACTTGTTATGTTACTCATCTGTTTTTGAAGTCTGTCCATAAAACCAGTTCATGTATCTATTCATTTTTGTTAATATTGATAGTTTTAAGAAAAAAAGTTAATGAAACAATTTGATCATTAGGGGGTGCCAAGGCAGCATTAAGTGGCTGCCTTGTTACATGATGGGAGAGACAGAAATAGCCTGTATGTATTAAGCAACTTAAGATCTTCATTTCTTGCTTCTTCTCCAAAAGAAATTAAACCATTTAGATAAGGTCAGTCATAGTCTTTTGAAGTTTTTCTACAAGAATTCCACTAAACACCACAAAGAATGTATATAACTTCTTTCACCTAAGGATTCCCTGAAATGGAAGGGTCTTTAAATCCCATCCAGAAGATGTTCTGTAAGTTCACAGAAATAATTTGCTTTTGGATAGTAGCACAAACATAACGATTTACTATGAAATCTGTGATTTACCCATTTATTCCTTCTTATACTCAGGTCCTGTAAGTTCTATCTCAGATAAGTATTTCTAATTTGACCTTCTTAATTTAGATTTCTGTTTTCCTTCAAATAAACGGAAACCAGTCCTCCATTGCTAACAAAGCCTATATCTCCCTTAGATGGTAGAAGATGTTCCAATGTGAACCCCTGCATCTTGTCTTTCCCTTTTAACCTTCATTACTTCTTCCTATTGCCTATGTTTCCACCATAGTGAATTTATCATTCCTTTCGACATGTCATATGTTCGTACACTTTGTACTTGTAGTGGGGCTGGCAGAGAGGACAAAAAGTCTTTTTTTGGGGGGGTCGGTCATGGGGCCTGAACTCTGGGCCTAGGCGCTGTCCCTCAGCTCTTCAGCCCAAGGCTAGCGCTCTACCACTTGAGCCACAGAGCCACTTCCGGCTTTTTTCTTTTAGCTTATGTGGTGCTGAGGAATCGAGCCCAGGGCCTCATGCATGCAAGGCAAGCGCTCTACCACTGAGCCACCTTCCCAGCCCCGACAAAAAGTCTTTAAAACATATTTATGATTGTACTGGGGTTTGCATTCAGACCTCATGCTCATTAGATAGGCAGTCTACTGCTGATCTATACCTCCAACGGAACTATATCTCTCTAGCCCTATTTTGCCATGGGTATTTTTTTTTTGTTGATTGTGGGGCTTGAACTCTGGGCCTGGGTACTGTCCTTCAGCTCTTCAGCTCAAGGCTAGCACTCTTGTCACTTGAGCCACAGTGGCACTTGCGGCTTTTTTGTGTTTATATGGTGCTGAGAAATCGAACCCAGGGATTCATGGCATGGGAGGCAAGCACTTTACCCCTGAGCTACTTTCGCAGCCCTGCCTTGGTTATTTTAGTTTGATTTTTTTCTTGGTTGGTCATAGGGCTTGAACTAAGGGCCTGGGCATGCCCTGGTTATTTTTGAGAAAGTGTCTTCCTTCTTGGTCTAAGTGTGTGCCTGGACTATGATTCCCCTATTAGACTTTGTCATAATTGGAATGACATGGGTGTCACATCCAGCTTTTCATTGAGATAGAGTCAGAGTTTTCAGTCTAGGCTGGCCTAGAACTTCAATCCTGATTGCAGCCTTCCCCCACAGCTAGGATAATAGCAGGTATAGTCCCCTGAACCCAGCTATAGGCTGTGAAATGATACCGAGAACTTTTCTGCCTGGGCTAGCTTCAAACCACAGTCCTTCTATTCCCAGCCTCCCAAATAGCTAGGATCACAGTACCTGTGAGCCACACTGCCTAACCAAAAACATTTATGTTATTATTACTTTTTCCTGTTTTCTTGGAAACAGCCATTGGTGTTCTTGTTTTATAGGAAGTGTTACTGTTCATCACAAGGTGACAATGAAAATTCCATTGAGTGACATCTTTAGATGCAATAGCTTATTAACTATACCAGTTGGCCATGTTGTGCAGCAATATTCGGATGTTCTTGTACAACCTTTTGTTGAAAATGGCACAGTGAGCAGAAAAGGTAAGTACATAAAGTATGTATTTCTATACTTGAATCTTACTTTAAGGGTAGAGCATACCAGATGGTATTCATCAAGGTCATTATCCAAAGTGTTTTTTTTTAAATCGATGTATATATGTATTTTAGGGTTTTATTTTGGTGCCAGTCCTGGGGCTTGAACTCGTCCTGGGCATTGTCCCTGAGCTTTTTTGCTCAAGTGAGTACTCTACCACTTAAACCATATCTCCACTTCCAGCTTTTTTGGTGCTTAATTGAGATTAAAAGCTTCATGGATTTTTCTGCCTGAGCTAGCTTTGAATTGCAGGTCTCAGAGCTCAGCCTTGTGATTAGCTAGGATTACAGGCCTGAGCCACCACTGCCAGCTAGTATATGTTTTATTTATTTATTTAATTTATTTAGCCTGTCCTGGGTCTTGAACTTAAGGCCTGGGCACTGTCTCTGAGCTTATTTTGCTCGAGGCTATCCCTCTACCACTTGAGTCACAGAGCCACTTCAGGCTTTTTTCTGTTTATGTGGTACTGAGGAAGCAAACCTGGGGCTTCAGGCATGCTAGGCAAGCACTCTATCACTGAGCCACATTCCCAGCCCTAGTGTATATTTTATATTATTAGCTTATATTAGTTGTGTGTGGGGGGTGTCTCATTGTTATATTCCTTGTGGGTTTACTATGAATTCTAATCAATCTCATCCTCTCTGTCATTCTCCCTTCTTGTCCCTCTTGGTAAAAAATTACAACAGGATCCATTGTTCTGTTTTCATGTTGCAAACAATCTATTTCACTTGTATCCCACAACCTCTTACTTCCTACTTGTTATGCTAGCCCAATCCCCTCCTACTAGTACCCACCCCATCCTCACCCCCACAGTGTTTTCTAACTGAAAGCATTCATTAAGGCTTATTTGTAGCTTCTACTAAAGCTTGTGTTAATAACAAGTATTATTAAAAATTGCAGGTGGAAGTTGTAGTTTAAAGTTTATGATATACATGTAGAATGGTCCTTTTTTTGGGTGCCAGTCCTAGAGCTTGAACTCTGGGCCTGGGCACTGTCCTTGAATTTTTGGCTCTACCACTTGAGCCACAGCTTTACTTCTGGCTTTTTTTTTGTGGGGGCGGGGGCAGGGGGAGTAGTTAATTGGAGCTAAGAGTCACATGACTTTCCTGTCCATGCTCACTTCAAATTGCAATCCCCAGTTCTCAGCCTCTTGAGTAGCTAGGATTAAATCACCTATAATCAGCTAGAATAGTCTTTTAAGAGTCTACCTATGAACTTTTCAGCTGAGAGAAAGCATAATGTTTGAACAGATCCTCAAATCATTTGATCATAGACTTTTAGCAGTTCCAAGACCTTAGCTTAGAAATTAGATTTCTATGTTCTAATCTTGCCTTTTTTCTAAATTGATTGTATGTGTTTATAGAAATGTAACAATTTCTCATTCATCAATTTTGGAAAACTAATACTTCCTAAGAGGCTGAAATGTCTATGAATTGTTGTAGAAGTAATATGAATAAAAGATTCATTTGTATTGAAAATCCTTTAATGATTCTTTTCTGGTGGTACTGGGATGTGAACTCAGGGTTTGGTACTTGCTTGTCAGGAGCTTTACTTCTGGAGTCACACCTGCAACTCTTTTTGCTTGTATGACTTTTCACATAGGGTCTCAATTTTTTCCTAAGCTGGCTTGAACATTTACCTCCTATATTTAAGCTTCCTGCATAGCTGGGATGATAGGTACCCAACTTTTTATTGGTTGAGGGTCTCATAAACTGCTTGCTGACAATGGTCTTGAACTGAGATCCTCCCAATCTCCACCTCCTGAATAGATAGGATTACAGGCAAGATGTACCTTGACTGTAATGGTTTCTAAACTTATTTTCTTAGTAAATAGTATTTTATAGTAGTTATATATGGGAAGGAAAAAGGCACACTAGGAGTAGGGATTAAATATTTTCAGATTACTTCTGGATTCTGAATCAGAGGCAGATGGGATCTTTGTTAATAAAGGCATTTACAGGTCTGAAAAAGATGAGTGTGCAGCCCTGTATGAGTAGCTATAAAATTTGAATGTCTTTTTAAATTTTTTTTGGGGGGAGTCCGGTAATGGGCCTGAACTCTGGGCCTGGGCGCTGTCCCTCAGCTCTTCAGCTCAAGGCTAGCACTCTACCACTTGAGTCACAGCACCACTTCCGGCTTTTTTCCTTTTTGCTTATGTGGTGCTGGGGAATTGAACCCAGGGCCTCATGCATGCAAGGCAAGCGCTCTACCACTGAGCCACCTTCCCAGCCCCGTGTTTTTTAATTTTTAATTTTTGAATCTTTAAGTAGTTGTTCAATTCAACAGGTCAGTTAGGAGGACAATGCATCTTGATCAGTGTCACTCCTTCCATCATTCTCCCACATCTCTCCCAACCCCATGGATATGTCTTAAGTTTATCTGCTATGTGAGGATAGGTAGAGACTACAAGATGATGTACTAACAAGCTATTTCCGTCTCCTCATTAACCCTCTTGGACTTCTAACTATGAGAAATATTTTGAAACATTTTATTTTTCCCTGGCCTCATGAATTAAGAAAAAGACCACCTCAGTTTATTTTGTCCTTTGTTGTTTTAGAATTTATATGTGATGAAGATAAAATTTCCACAACGATAACACCCATCATTCATACCACCGTGCCATCTCCTACTACAACACCTACTCCAAAGAAAAACCCAGCGGTGGGAAACTATTCTGTTACTAATGGTAATGGCACTTGTCTACTGGCTACCATGGGACTGCAGCTGAACATCACTCAAGAGGTTTGGTCATCTGTTTTTTCTTAAATGAATAAATATTAACATTTTAGTGTTTTAAAAGTTGTTTTGTTTTTGTTGGTTGTGGGACTTGAACTGAAGGCCTGGGTGCTGTCCCTGAGTATTATTATTAACATTATTTAAATTTCATTGTAAAGGTGATGTGCAGAGGGGTTATAGTTACATAAGTCAGGTAATGTGTACATTTCATTTTCTCCCAGTTTTTTTTCCTCCTGAACCTACTTCCCGGTAAGTTGTATAGTTCCTTTCCAACATAGTGTCTGTGAGTATCACTGCTAAATTAGCTCACCTTTTGTCCCACAGTTTCTATGTTCCCCTTCTCTATTCTCCTCCCCCCAAATCAGACAAACTTATATTAGAATGTGACTATAAATCTACAAGCAAACCCAATGGATATTAAAATACAAAAAAAACCCTATACTTGGACATGATTAAACAGAACTCTAAATATGCATACAGTGAGACCAAAGGAGGATATTCTTAGAAGAGGATCACAAGGACTTAATAGCTATGTGCCTATGATCTTATAAAATGAATTCTAAGAAATGGAAACAAAACTTTTTTTTTATTATACTTTTGTGGTTCATTTTTTCTTGTTTTCTTTTGTCCCTGAGTTTTTTTGTTTTTGTTTTTGTTCTTTTTGCTTAAGGCTATCCCTCTACCACTTCGAGCCACGGGGGAGCCACGGCTCTGCCTCTGGTTTTCTGGTGGTTAATTGAAGATAACAGTCTCATAAATGTTCCTGCCAGGGCTGGCTTCAAATCATGATCTTCAGATCTTAGCCTTGTGAATAATAGCTAGGATTACATGCAGGAGCCACCAGCCCCTGGCTTTTTTTGGCTGGTGCTCAGGCTTGAACTTGAGGCTTCACACTCTCACTTGGATTTTTCTTTCAAGCTGGCACTCTACCACTTGAATCACAGCTTCACTTCTGGCTTTTTGATGGTGAACTGGAAATATGAGTCTCACGAACTTTCCTGCTCAAGCTAGCTTCAAATCTAAATCCTCAGCTCTCCGGCTCCTGATTAGCTAAGATATCAAGTGTGAGCCACCATCACCCAGCTCTAAATTTATTTATTTATGTGCTGGTCCTGGGGCTGTTCCTGAGCTTCTTTTGCTCAAGGCTAGCAGTGTACCACTAGAACCACAACTCCATTTCCACCTTTTTGATGGTTAATTGGAGATAAGATTCTCAAAAACTTTCCTTCCCAGGCTGACTTTGGACCATGATCCTCAGATCTGAGCTTCCTGAGTAGCTAGGATTACTGGTGCCAGCTATTTTTATTTTTAGTAATAATTTTTAATAATTTTCTTTTTAAAATAGTTTTACAAAGCAGTTTCAATTCCATATGTCAATTTATTTATACAGTCCATGTTGATGTGTATCTCCTCTTCCATCATTCTCCCCTCTCACCTCCCCATCTATCTCAACCCTATCTATCCCCTCATGTCCTTTCAAATTTCCCTCTAAATGTTGTGGATTTCATCATTCCAGCCCTACCAAAAGAAAAACCAACAAGTTGGATATGTAAACGCTGTGGGTTGGTGTGCAGAACAGTGTAGCTATTTGTTTCTCCAGTTAGTTGATGATAGTTGATGACACACACATCACCAAGACGGACTCAAGTATGCCATGGCTCTTACAGATGCAGATGCAGTTTTCCACTGGGGCTCTAGAGGGAGTGCCAATGAATAAATACCATTTCCAAGCTCCTATGATTGAAACTAGACAGATGGCTCTTATGCTCTGTAAAAATATGTGTTTTCATTTGGCTCATTAATGTGGAAGCATCTCTCTTATTGGTGTCATTGTTTAAGTTGTATGACTCATAGCTTGAGGGCCTCTGCCAAGTTTGTTTGAAAGTAAGACATCATGGATTTAAGTATACAAACAAAAGATTTTTTTCTGTCCCAGAATTGGCCTTTAATTATAATACTTTCTATTGCTTTTATTTTTTTTGCCAGTCCTGAGGCTTGAACTCAGGGACTGGGTTCTGCCCCTGAGCTTTTTGCTCAAAGCTAGTGCTCTATCCCTTGACCACTGTTCCACTTCCAGTTTTTTTTGGTGATTAATTAGAGCTAAGAGTCTCATGGCCTGTCCTTCTTGGTCTTACTTCAAACTGCAATCCTCAGATCTTAGCCTCCTGAGTAGCTAGGATTTTAGGCATGAACCACCAGTGCTTGGCTCTATTGTCTTTTTGTTTTGGTGCCAGTCTTGAGACTTGAACTTAGGCTTCAGTACTGTCCCTGAGGGTTTTTTGTTTTTGTTTTGTTTTTGCTGGAGGATAGCATTCTACCACTTGAGACACAGCTCTACTTCTGGCTTTTTGGTGATTAATTAGAGATGTGTCTCAGGGACTTTCTTCCTTGAGCTGGCTTCAAATTACAATCCTCAGATTTCAGCCTTCTGAGTAGCTAGATTTGTATTGCCTTTTATAGCTTATCTCTACTTTCTCTCCCTTTTCCCCCCCACAGGTTCCTGTCATTATTAACATCAACCCCAATATAACTAGCTTCACTGGCAGTTGTCATCCCCAAACAGCCCAGCTTAGACTGAACAACAGCAACATTAATCTTGACTTTGTCTTTGCCATGGTGAGTAACAGTTATTTCTAAAGTTAGGTTCATTCTCTGAGAATCGTATTGGAAAGTCTAAATGGTGATGTATATTTATGGGGCATATATTTATTTTTATTTCAACACAACTGAATTATAAAGTACAGTCCCCATGATCCCTAGTTATCCTTCAGAGTCCACTTGGTGGTCTCTAAGCTAGAATCTTGAATTAATAATCACCAAGAATGTCCATTCTGCCATTATGTAGATGCTAGGGTAGGAGCAAGAATTAATTTACAACAAAAAACCCCCACAAAACTATTTGTATAATTTCTCCATATATCAGTAAATCCTGTGATGATATTTTTCTTTAGAATTGGCTAGACAACTCTTACTTTTGTCTATTACATTTTAAGCCTTTTGGTGGTACTATGGTTTGTAATAGTGATATTGATAATAATAGCTAGCATCTATATAGTATATTATAGTATACACTATACATAATATATACATATTATGTATACTATACATATATATTCTATGTATGCTACATATACATATATACCATGTATAGTATATACTATATATACAATTTATATACTATGTCATAGTATACACACACACACACACACACACACACACACACACACACACACAAGGGTTTTTTGGTCAGTTGTGGGGCTTGAACTCAGGGCAGGGCTTGGGCACTGTCCTTGAGTTTTTGGGTTTTATTTTGTCAGTCATGGGCTTGGGAGCTGTCTCTGAGTTCTTCAGCTTAAAATAAGTGCTCTACCACTTGAGCCATAGTGCCACTTCCAGTTTTCTGGTGGTTAATTAGAGATAAGAGTCTCATAGTAGTCGGGCACAGGTGGCTAACTCCTGTAATCCTAGCTACTGAGGAGGCTGAGATCTGAGGATCACGATTCAAAGCCAGCCCAGGTAAGGAAAGTCTGTGAGACTCTTACCTCCAATTAGCCACCAGAAAACTGGAAGTGGCGCTGTGGCTCAAGTAGTAGAGCGCTTGCCTTGAGCTGAAGAGCTTAGGGATAGCGCCAGGCACACTGGTCAAGTCCCACAACTGACAAAAAGACAAAAACAAAACAAAAAAATCAAGAGTCTCACAGACTTTCCTGCCCAGGATGGCTTTGAACCACGATCTTCAGATCTCAGCCTCCTGAGTAGCTAGGATTACACATGTGAGCCATCAGTGCCTGGCTTGTCCTTGAGGTTTTTTTGCTCAAGGCTATCACTCTACCCCTTGGGCCACAGCACCACTTCTGGTTTTTTGGTGATTAATTGGAGATAAGAGTGTCACAGACTTTCCTGTCCCAACTGGCTTCAAACCTCCATCCTCAGGTCTCAGCCTCCTGAGTAGCTGTGATTACAGGTGTGAGCCACTGTTGCTCAGCTTATGTATTGTTTATATAGTAGATGTACTACATGTTGTTTCTGTAGGTCCTGATTCCACAGATTTAAGTAACCTTAGATCACAAAAATACCAGACAAAGAAGGGCAAGAGAAAAGTGAAATACCTGAAGTATTACCAGAGCTCAGGATGCCTACATTAGCCTTGCCCCTTTCTTGGTAAAGATTCCTTAGGAAATTTTAGAAAATGCTTGTGTATCAACAAAGAAAGCAACTAATACTGATTGTGTCATGTGCAGGCTGCAATAGTGGGATACAAAGAAAGCCTGCAATCTTTTTTTTTTCCAAAAAAAGAACTATGAAACTTTTATTTTCCAAGGATTTTTTTTTGGGCGGGGGGAGACTGTCATGAGGCCTGAATTCAGGGCGTGGGAACTAAACTGTCCCTGAGCTTTTTTGCTCAAGGCTGGTGCTCTACCACTTGAGCCACAACTCCATTTCTAGCTTGTTTTGGTGCTTAATTGGAGATAAGAATCCATAGACTTTCCTGCCCAGGGTATCTTTGAATCATGATCCTCAGGTCTTAGAGTCTTGAGTAGGTAGGATTACAGATATGAGCCACCAGCACCCAGTTAAAATGACATTTACTATAAAAATAGGGGCTCATTTTATTTATTATGAAAAATGTCAGTACAATTTGCCACAGTGACACATTTAAACATTTAAAATAGTTATGTAGAAATCTCTGTATTCTTACACTCAAAGTTGTTAGTATTGGCATATGTAGCACTTTTAAGAACTTTGTAGGAAACAGTTGTAATTGCTGTTGTTTTTTGGTTAAACCTTACCACCCTATACTTAAGACACTAAATTTCATTTCTAAATGTACAGTAGATTATAGTGGCAGATCATTCTTAACCATCCAGAAAAGACAAGTTTATGATTTTTTTTTCTGTCAGTACTGGGGCTTCAACTCAGGGTTTCAATCTTGCTTAGCTTTTTTACTTAAGGATGGTTCTCTACCACTTGAGCTATACCTCCAGTTCTGGCATTTTGCTGGTTAATTGGAGATAAGAATCACACACACTTTCCTTCCCATGCTGGCTTTGAATTGTGATCCTCAGCCTCCTGAGTAGCTAGGATTAAAGGCATAAGCCACCAGCACCAGGCTCTAGCCCTTTCTTTTTCAAACAATGGTTAATTTTTTTTCTGTAGCACAAATGATTTGACAGAAGACGATGATAATACATGCCCATACTTGTTATGAGGGAAATCCTTTTGAGATCTACAAAGCATAAAATATATACATTCTGTTTTTCAAAGTCTGACTGACTTGCTTAAGAATCACTAAAATTGGGGCTGGGAAGGTGGCTCAGTGGTAGAGCGCTCACCTTGCATGCTTAAGGCCCTGGGTTCGATTCCTCAGCACCACATAAGCAGGAAAAAAAAGCCAGAAGTGGCGTTGTGGCTCAAGTGGTAGAGTACTAGCCTTGAGCTGAAGAGCTGAGGGACAGCACCCAGGCCCAGAGTTAAGGCCCCACGACTGGACCCCCCCCCAAAAAAATCACTAAAATGCAGCAGGATTTAGACTACAATATAACTGCTAAGTGCTGTGTTGTCGTTCCCCCTGCTTAAATTAAAGTTGTTTCTTAACTATACCTGTCTGCTATACCTCTGTAGCAGCCAGGGACACTTGGTCTCATATATGTTGAAAAAAAAAAAAAGAATCACTGGGCTGGGAAGGTGGCTCAGTGGTAGAGTGCATGCCTTGGATGCCAAAGGCCCTGGGTTCAATTCCTCAGCACCACATAAGCAAAAAGAAAAAAGCCGGAAGTGGTGCTGTGGCTCAAGTGGTAGAGCGCTAGCCTTGAGCTGAAGAGCTGAGGGACAGTGCCCAGGCCCAGAGTTCAGGCCCCATGACCGGACCCAAAAAAACAAACAAAAAAAAGTATCACTAAAATGTTAACCTTAACAACTATAACAGTGATTCACTGCCAATGAAATTAAAATAATAAATTGTAAAAGCTAGTTTGAAACATTGCACAGATAACAAGTATAACAAAACAATATCTTTAGATAGTTTTATTATTGCTGACCATCATGACATTTAGGCAAGATGTGCAGTGTAACCCTTGTCAGAATTGTCTCATCATCCAATAACTACAAATGGAAGGACATAAAACATGAATTAGAAAAGCTGCATTTTTAAGAATCCCACAGTTTAGAAATACACAAATACTTGCCATTTTTGTGGAAGGCATGAATACCAGTCAGGTTTTGAACTTGTATCTTGATTTGTGAAAGGTACTTACTGAATGGGATGGCCAGGTATTCACACAAGTGTTGTGAGAGAATAAAGGAAGAGGTTGGGCTGGAGTTGTGGCTCAAGTAGTAGAGCACCAGCCTAGCAAGCACAAAATCTTTACATACAACACCAGCATTAAAAAAAAAGAGAGGTGCTGGGCACTGGTGGCTCGTGCCTGTAATTCTAGCTACTTAGGAGGCTGAGATCTGAGGATCACGGTTCAAAGCCAACCCAGGCAGCAAAGTCTGTGGGGCTCTTATCTCCAATTAACCACCAGAAAACCAGAAGGGGCACTGTGGCTCAAGTGGTGGAGTACTAGCCTTGAGCTGAATTGCTGAGGGACAGTGCCCAGGCCCAGAGTTCAAGCCCCATGACCTACAAAAAAGGAGAGGTTAATTCTAGCTGGAAGAGAGTCAGGAATTTTAAAAGGAAAAGACCATTTGAGCCTTCAAGGACAGGTTAGATTTGTATATAGGCAGATCAGTGTGGAGTAAGGGAAAATGTAGAGGTCATCCTTGGATACAAGAACATAAGACCAACTAGCAAAATGATGCATGTGGCCATGTTTAGAGAAAGCATGGGAATATCATGGGGATAAATGATAGAGAACCTTGAACGCCTGGCTAGCTGAGACATTGCCTTTGCAGAGAAATAATGTGATGAGGTCATCAAGTCCTCCTTTATGCTTGTTCCAGAACTTTCTTTCCAGTGTGTCCTCATTTTTATTCCTTTTTGCTTTGGTTTGGTTCCAGCTGGCTTACCTCTTACCTGGACCATTTAAACAGCTTCCCACATAATCTCAATTTTTATCTCCCTTATTTAGGTTTTTTTTTCCCTCGGTTGTGGGGCTTGAACTCTGGGCCTGGAAGCTGTCCCTCAGCTCTTCAGCTCAAAGCGAGAGCTCTACCACTTGAGTCACAGTGCCCTTCTGGTTTTCTGTTGAATTGGAGATAAGAATCTCATAGACTTCCCTGCCCCGGCTGGCTTTGAACCGCGATCCTCAGATCTCAGCCTCCTGAGTAACTAGGATTACAGGCATGAGCCACTGGCACCTGGCTACATTTAGTTTTTTCCCAAGGTAGTTTTACTCACAAATCGTCAGTGGCTCTCTTTTGCCAACAAGGTCCCATCTAAACTCCATGGCAGGGTAGTTCAAGCGGCATGATCGCCAGCTGCTCTTGCCTTTGCTCTCTCTCTCTTTCCAAACTCTATACATCATTCACCCTGATTTCTGTGTGCATCTTGCAAAGTAGGAGAGGAACAGCAGGTTTCACTAAAACAATAAAACAAAAGAGATAATAGCACTGAATCTGAAAGGATAGAGCTAGAAGACAAAGTCTGGGAACCTGGCAAAGAAGATAATATGATCTTGGCTAGAGGTATTATGAACTCAGCAGGGGACAGAAGGAATAAACTAGAGAGTTAAATCACCAGTGTCCAGGGATAACATGACTACTTCTGCAAGTCAACAATTCAGAATCAAAATGCAGAGGAAAATGTCACTTAAATTGTGACAAAAGTTGGGTGCTAGTGGCTTGCATCTATAATACTAGCCACTTTGGAGGATGAGATTGGGAGGATTGCAGTTGGAGGCCAGCCCCTTTTCAACTCATAACCAGGTACAGTGACATACATACCTGTTATCCTATTCTTTGTGGGAGGGTGAGATTGAGAGGACTGAAGTGTAAGATTAGGTTGGGCAGAATAATCTAGGAAACTCCATCTCCACAGAAGGAGTGAAGTTGGACGAGGTGGCACATGTCTGTCATTAAAACAGTGAAGACAAGCCCAAAGTAGATGGTTTAGGCACATAAATATGTAGAAAGCAAAACCCTATACCAAAAGTAACCAGCAAAAAGAAGGGATGAAAGCATAGCTCAAGTAGTAGAGTACCTGCCTAGCAAGTGTTGAGACCTGAGTTCAGATCCCAGTACTGTCAGAACTATGACAAACTTTACTAGCAGCTGAGCACCAGTGGCTCATGCCTGTAATCCTAGCTACTCAGGAGGCCTAGATCTGAGTGAGGATCACAGTTCAAAGCCAGCCCAGGCAGCAAAGTCTATAAGACACTTACCTCCAATGAACCACCAGAAAACTGAAGTGGTAGAGCGCTCACCTTGAGCTGAAGAGCTGAGGGACAGTGCTCAGACCCAGAGTTCAAGCCCCACAACCGACCAAAAAAAAATGTTTACCAGCAATTTATTTGATTGGCTCAAGCCTAATCCCTAGTTCCTCTTCTGTGCATTAGTACTAGATTGCTTTTCTTCTGCAGATAGTAACTATATTTTTAGACATTTGTGATATATTGTTAACTGGGAAATCTTTTTTACATACAGAAAAATGGAAACCGATTCTATCTGAAGGAAGTGAATGCCAGCATATATTTGACTAATAGCACTGGTAAGCAAAGCACTGTCCTGTGTGTGGTACACAGAGGTTACACTAAAGTTATAAGACCTATAATTGTTCCATTACCAGATAGTGCCCTTATTTAATGACCAAAATGTAAGTCTGAAACACAGGGACAAAGGATGCTACATAAAAAGTATACTGTGACCACAGCTTAAAACCTACGATTTAGAACTGTGGTATTCTATCTTTGGAATAACCAATCTTTTCAAAGTATAGTGGGCAATAGTTAATGGTGGGTTTTTAGATTAGAAATAGCTATGGAAAGATAAGGGCAAATTGAGTATGGTGGTGCATATCTGTAGTTTCAATACTTGAGAGGCTGAGACAGGAAGATCCTGCATTCAAAGCCAGCCCAGGTTCTATAGAGATTTCCAAGTAACCCTAGGATATGTAGTAAGTCCCTGTCTCAAAAAAATTATTAGGGAATTTCTTTTTGTAGATAGACCCTTTCCAAGTTCCCATAATTCGCTTTTTAAAAAACCCTCTGAAGACTGTCTCATTTTTTTTATTTTGAGAGGCTAAAATGTTACTAACCTTTTTTTTTTCTGTGAAGTTTTCAGCGTTGGAAATAATAACCTTAGCTACTGGGATGCCCCGTTGGGAAGTTCTTATATGTGCAACAAAGAGCAGATTGTGTCAGTGTCTGGAAAATTTCAGATAAATACCTTTAATCTCAGGGTCCAGCCTTTCAATGTGAAGGAAGGAAAGTATTCTACAGGTAAGAATCAAACAGATCTTATTAATAATTTATGTTCTGTTGACCAATAGGAGGCTTTGAAATAGAGAAATACAAGCAACTCTTAACTCTGATGTACAGGTCTCATAGCCTCTAGTGCATTGTATACTGGCTTATTTTTTTGCTCAAGCTTCAAACTAGATGTAGTTTTCAAGTCTGGAAATCATTTGGAACATTAAATTGAGCTTATGTAAGGCATAGATGCTCTCCCTAGATTTGAGTTTGGGGATGGGCACTTGAGACATCAGCTTTGAACATTTTACATTTGCTTTCCTGGGACCATCTTCTCACTGGAAAATGTTCATATCTGACTGAAAGCAGTTTGGTTTGATTTGTTAAGAAATATGATAAAGAGTGCCAACAAAGCCTCAAATCTCATTACCTATGGTTTTGACAAAATGATCTAGAGATTTCCTCAAGCATGTCAGTGCAAGTGAGGCTTTTTAGAAGATTTCCTCTGGGCTAATGATTTATCAGATTTTAATGAAAACTTTGTAAAGGGCTCATTATAATGTGTTTGTGTGAGTGTGAAAGATCTATTTGGCATTACAAGATTAAAATTTTCATGAAGGAAAAGGAAAGAGTGTAAAATTCCTTAAGTGTCTGGTCTTTTTAAAGTAATTACTTAAAATTGGAAGTTTGTGGATCACAAACCTTGCTAAGCAAAGCCATTCTAGTCGTCTACATCCTTTTAAACAATTAACTATGGTTTTGAAGGAAATGTAGAAGTTCTGTTTCAAAGTGAATGAAGTGAATGTGTTGTGAGCCATCCATCTGCTTCTACAGAGGTGCTAAATACCTCATCTACTTTGGTTATGCCAAAATAAACCAGGCTCTTCATCTTAATTCTCTTGAGACTGGAGAATTTAATCACAACTTGAAAAGTAATTTCCCTTTTGTTGATTTTGCTTATGAATTTCAGTTATTCTGATCCTTTGAGAGATTTATTTTGGAATCCATCTAGCTCCTCTACATCATAACCCTAATTTTAGGTCCAGATTTGTGTTTAGAATTGAAAATCATTTGCAGTATTGTTACCAGTTCAGGCCTATTTATTTCATCAGCTATAGTAGAGATGAGCTCTATCTTTGTCTTGTTTGAAACTGTGCTTTTTATGTACATAGAATTTAAGATGTTGCTCACAGGGATTTATAACATTTAAGACTGATATTGGCTGCATAATCTATTTGTGGAACTAGGCTCTTGGTTATGGATACCTATAAATAGAACGCCAGGTAATACTTGAGTGTATTTGGGGAGGAAATAGAGCTGAAACAAGGCAGAGGTGTGTTGATTGAATTTTATTGGATCAATCTATGTACTTTCTAGAAATATATAGAAAAATAGCTCTTGTGGGCTGTCAGTCTGGTAGAGTGATAAGAAATTTAGTAAACACTCTCAAATTATGAAGAAATCCTTGTTTCTTGACTCTTACAGCCACTAATATAACATTCTGCATCAGGGATCTGCAAACATTTCCTGAAAACTCCAAACAGGGACCTAGGTTCACTGTCAATTTTTTTTAATTCTGCTATTGTTACAAAAATATCTATAGGTAATACATAAACAGATGAATGTGGCTGAGTTCTAATAAAACTTTATTTATGGATTCTGAAATTGGAATTCTGTATTTTATATGTTACAATATATCCTCCTTTCTCCCACTCCAATCATTTGAATAAATGCCATTTTAAACTCTTTGGCCAGGCTCAGCCCATGAACTACAGTTCACTGACCTTTCCTATAAAGAAATTTCAAAATCAGCCTGGACTATCCAATTCCACAATACTAATAATGCTTCTGTTGTCCCCAGAGACATTTACTCTACTGATGAAAGGCTGATCTAGCTTTAGGGAAACAGGATCAATTAGATAAATACTCTTCATTTTGATAAATACTCTTATTTTGGAATAGACTTGGAATATAAACAAACACAATTGTATACATTTATTTATATGTATATATATCATGTAATACCATGTGTATTTATAGCTTTATCTATGAATATATCTTTATATATACAGCAACATAAATGAAAGGACAAATACAGTTTAAAAATTTTAGACTAGTCCATAGTTTTATATAGCTTTATCCAAAAAATATACCTGTTGAAATAGATTTTATATACGAACATTTCTGACTTTTAAATCAACATCTCTTACTTTTGGATATTCTTTTTTTAAATTATACTCACTATTTGTTACACACTTTTTCTCACTTACAGCCCAGGAGTGTTCGCTGGATGATGACACCATTCTAATACCAATTATAGTTGGTGCTGGTCTTTCAGGCTTGATTATCGTTATAGTGATTGCTTACCTAATTGGCAGAAGAAAAAGCTATGCTGGATATCAGACTCTGTAACACTAATCCATTCATGATCTCTGTTACAAAAAAATAAAGCAAGTACAAGTACAAACATGCAATAATGTTCAATTTAAGGTATATTTAGTTTCAGTCTTGCACTTAGAATGTATGGGAGATTTCAAACTGAAACAAAAAAATAGAACTGTAAATTCCAAATGAGGCCTCTGATTTTGGTGTCCCCAACCATGGACTGTAACACAGTTACTTCTATAACAAGAGACATGTGCAAAATTACCTAGATTATAAATTCTATTTTACTGTTTTGAATTAGTATTCAGTGTTTTGTCTTTACCTATATGTTCAGACTAGAAATACACAGGAAAAATTATTTTTGTGTGTGTGCTGTTGCTAGGCTTTGAGTTTTATGGCTTTTTCACTCATGGCTGGGAGCTCTACCACCTCCAGTCTGGCATTTTTCTGATTAATTGGAAGAAAGACTTACAAATGTTTTTGCCTGAGCTGGCTTTGAACTGTAAGCCTTAGATCTCAGCCTCCTGAGTATGTAGGATTGCAGGGGTTATCCACCAGTAGCCAGCTAACAAAATAATTTTTTAAAAGGGTTTTTCCCTGCATGACATTGAGTTTGGTCAATATATTCTACAATGGGTTTGTACTTGTTCTCTTTGCATTTTTTTGTGATTTTGTTTGCAGGCTAATTTAGATACTTTGCCTCGCTGCATATTTGATCTAGGAAAGAGATGGTAGTATGTTTGTTCAAGGCCTAGTAAGTAGTAGTATGTTCTTCCTAATGAATTCTTTTCTCATGTGTTTTGAATACATTTGTTTTTAATGTGGCTGTAACAACAAAAGATAGAAAATATTTTTTAAAGTTTAGAGTAAATGTTTAACTTACTGTTTAATCTGCTTTTTAAAAAATTGGGTATTTCAATCTTTTAAATTGCTAGCTGCAAGACTATTCCAGCTAGGCATTTCAATCTATATTTTAGGTGCTTTTGAGATAATTGCTAGACAGTGCCAATGGAGGGCATTATTCCTTTGTGCCTGTATATTGGCCTCTATGTATAGTACTAAAATTAATGCAGCTTTCTCTTTAACTTTCCAGTCTTCCTTGTTGGTGGTATGTATTTCTTCTTCTTCTTTTTTTTTTTTTTGAAGAAGAAATGCTAGTATATCCAAGAACCTAGATAAAGAAGTGCACTTACACTCAGAAAATAATTTGCACTTAATCCAAAAGTCTTGGTCTTCCCTTTAGTCCATTAAAATGTTATTCTTTTCTAGTTTGTGTTGATTGCTACAGCATTTACTAATTTGCCTTTCACATTTAAATGGTTCTGTGCTAATCAAAACTTATACTTTATTGTTCATTATGGTAGAGGCATTATTAATTCATGCATTTTGTATTCAATTTGGTACTCAGAGAAATGCATCAGTTGTCAATTTACTGAGCATGCAACCCTTAATGCTTATATGAAAAAGCAATGCTTCAGCTTGATAGCACAGGAAGCGTTCCTTGTAGCTTCTAAAAGATCTTGTACATGCATATATTTATACACCATATACATACATGCATATACTATGTATGTTTACACATGTAGATATAGCTGAGCAAATGTTAAAAATATTAGCATCTTGCTACACATTGCAGGTTCTTATGGTTATTTGAGGAGGACAGATTACACGCCTCCCATTTACCTGAAAATGAGGAACTATCTGGGTTTGGCATTGAATGAAAGCATTAGTACACACATACATGCATGGTATGCACACATCCATAGTAGATTGCATGCTAGGGTATGTATGTCTGTAACTGTCTTTTGAGTTTTATTGGAATAAGTAATATTTTCTTCACTGAAATTTGCTGTCTTTTTAGCCTAAAAATTTATTAGTCCAGACTATATGCTTCACTGATTCTCTCCTAAAGCTTCATTGAGCTGCATTAACAGTTTCAAAACATTTCTGAGAAACCAAATCTAAATCTGGATTTTAAAAATTACTTTCATTAAAACTGTGTTTTACTGTAAAATTATTAATCATATAAGAATTGATTAAGCTTTTATGAACATTGGCCCTAGGTATTTCTCATGAATCAAAACATATTAAAACTGTAAGTGATTGGCACTAGCTTAAGGCTGTTGTTGTTTCTAAAAGTTTCTACATTTAGATTATAAATCTGATTCATATTAAAGTACTATTAAGCACTGTTTTATAGAAAAATATGACTCGAGTGAATATTTTTGTATTTTACATGGGCCAGTTTATATACTGCTATTTACACTATAATTTCCTATAACCATATGCTCTTTGTACCTTTTGTAAATTTTTTGTTTAATTTTATTGAGTTCACACCTTAATGGTAACACTCTATTTGGTTTCAGGTCTTCTTCATGTTTTAACATTTGTATGAAGTAACTGGTCCCTGTAAATACCTTTTGTGTTTTTTTCTCAAATGTTTAAGCCACTAGTTGATGTATGGTCTCTCTTTTTAGCTATTTGCCTGTTTTGTTTGCTCAACATTGCTTCTCAAACAATAAAGATTCTTTTATTTCTTAAGGAAATTTGCTCACATTTTTTTCCTATTGGTTAAGTTTAAGATTTTATGTGCTACCTAATGACAATTTCTCTCAACAGTAAAAACTTTAGAAATGCTTAGAACA